AACAAGACGATTCTGCAGCTTTTTAAACTTCGACTTCATTTCCTTCATTTGATGAACAGAAGTGAAACAAATTCCTGATTCAGATTTTTTCGAGGTTTAGATTCTGGGTGTTTGACATTTTTATTTCTCGAAGTCATTTCTCTTTTATCGACAGTTTTCATTCTTTATTGAGAAAATAGTCGACGAGTGACAGGTGGACAGGTGCAGCGTGAGTGACAGGTGAGCAGGAGACAGGTGCAGCGTGACTGACAGGTGACAGGTGGACACAGGTGACTGACAGGTGCAGCGTGAGACTGACAGGTGGACAGGTGCAGCGTGAGACTGACAGGTGGACAGGTGCAGCGTGAGACAGACAGGTGCAGCGTGAGACTGACAGGTGGACAGGTGCAGCGTTGAGACTGACAGGTGGACAGGTGACAGACTGACAGGTGTGAGTGTGACAGGTGTGACAGGTGACAGGTGCAGCGTGAGTGTGACAGGTGCAGCGTGAGACTGGACAGGTGCAGCGTGAGTGTGACAGGTGGACAGGTGCAGCGTGAGTGTGACAGGTGGACAGGTGCAGCGTGGGTGTGACAGTGGACAGGTGCAGCAGGTGAGTGTGACAGAGTGGACAGGTGCAGCAGTGAGGTGCAGCAGGTGTGACAGGTGCAGCGTGAGTGTGACAGGTGGACAGGTGCAGCGTGAGTGTGACAGGTGGACAGGTGCAGCGTGAGTGTGACAGGTGGACAGGTGCAGCGTGAGTGTGACAGGTGGACAGGTGCAGCGTGAGTGTGACAGGTGGACAGGTGCAGTGATGCAGTCGCTGTGTCGGTCGTTGCTCTGGGAAACGACTGAAAGGACGAGATCACAGATACAAGCGTCGTCCCTGCATCTGTCCTGAGGGAAATGAGTTTCCCTTAGAGTCGGAGCTCGGAGTAGAGCCGCTGCTCCTCCTCGTGGAGAGGAGCGTCTGAGGGGAGGAGCTCGGAGTAGAGCCGCTGCTCCTCCACGTGGAGAGGAGCGTCTGAGGGGAGGAGCTCGGAGTAGAGCCGCTGCTCCTCCACGTGGAGAGGAGCGTCTGAGGGAGGAGCTCGGAGTAGAGCCGCTGCTCCTCCTCGTGGAGAGCGTCTGAGGGGAGGAGCTCGGAGTAGAGCCGCTGCTCCTCCACGTGGAGAGGAGCGTCTGAGGGGAGGAGCTCGGAGTAGAGCCGCTGCTCCTCCACGTGGAGAGGAGCGTCTGAGGGGAGGAGCTCGGAGTAGAGCCGCTGCTCCTCCTCGTGGAGAGGAGCGTCTGAGGGGAGGAGCTCGGAGTAGAGCCGCTGCTCCTCCACGTGGAGAGGAGCGTCTGAGGGGAGGAGCTCGGAGTAGAGCCGCTGCTCCTCCACGTGGAGAGGAGCGTCTGAGGGGAGGACGTCTGTTCTGACGTCTCCTGGACGTGTCCCTCAGGAGGTGTTCATGTCCCACCTGGAGGAGGAGACCCAGGACACACTGGAGGGACCATGTCTCTGGACTGGACTGGGAACACCTCAGGTCCCACTGGAGGAGCTGGAGGAAGTGTCTGGGGTGAGGGAAGTCTGGGAGTCTCTGTTCAGACTGATGCTCCTGAGACTCGACCCCAGAGAAGAAGAAGAACATGGAGGATGGATGGAAAATATATTCATAAATTATATATATTATTAATATGCAAATGAGAAGGATTAGAACTCAAAATCCAGTTTGATGAACAAAATATTCTGAATATTTCCTCAAATTTGCCGCTAGAACATTTCTTCTGTGAAAATACTCCTAGTCTAGAAGTTTAAAGACTCGTGTTCAGACGGAGCAGTGCCTCCAGTTAGAAAAACATGAAGAACAAGATCTCCACACGATCAGCTGATCTGAACACTGAACCATGTTCTAACTGTTCTGGTTCTGTTCTGGTTCTGTTCTGGTTCTGTTCTGGTTCTGTTGTGGTTCTGTTCTGTTCTGTTCTGTTCTGGTTCTGTTGTGGTTCTGTTCTGGTTCTGTTCTGGTTCTGTTCTGGTTCTGGTTCTGTTCTGTTCTGTTCTGGTTCTGTTGTGGTTCTGTTCTGGTTCTGTTGTGGTTCTGTTGTGGTTCTGTTGTGGTTCTGTTCTGGTTCTGTTCTGGTTCTGTTCTGGTTCTGTTGTGTTCTGTTTGTGGTTCTGTTCTGGTTCTGTTGTTCTGGTTCTGGTTCTGTTCTGGTTCTGTTCTGGTTCTGTTCTGGTTCTGTTCTGGTTCTGTTCTGGTTCTGTTCTGGTTCTGTTCTGTTCTGGTTCTGGTTCTGTTGTGGTTCTGTTCTGTGGTTCTGTTGTTCTGGTTCTGTTGTGGTTCTGTTCTGGTTCTGTTCTGGTTCTGTTGTGGTTCTGTTCTGGTTCTGTTGTGGTTCTGTTGTGGTTCTGGTTCTGTTCTGTTCTGTTCTGGTTCTGTTGTGGTTCTGTTCTGGTTCTGGTTCTGTTCTGGTTCTGTTCTGGTTCTGTTCTGTGGTTCTGTTGTGGTTCTGTTCTGGTTCTGTTCTGGTTCTGTTCTGGTTCTGTTCTGGTTCTGGTTCTGTTCTGGTTCTGTTGTGGTTCTGTTCTGGTTCTCCTTTGACCTCAGTTCTGGTGTAGGTCAAAGTTCGTCTCAGAAGAATCAAAATCAGATCCTCGTGTTCCTCAGGTCTGGATCCTAGAACATCTCACTGACAGAACAGAACAGAACCTTCAGAACCTTTAGAACCTTCAGATCGTTTCCTGTCTGTGGTCTCCAGGGTGAGTTCTTCCCTCTCAGTTCTGGACCAATCAGGTGTTGTTCCTGGGAGGGGGCGGGTCTGACGCTCGTCTCTGATTGGTCGTTTGTCGTTGTTTTTTTTCTCTTTCAGATTTCAGACGAATCGTTCGAGGAGACAGAGACTTTATGACCAAAGTGACTCCGCCCCTCCAGCTCACCTGTGTGCACCTGGACAGGAGCTGACCAATCACACGACAGAGAGGAGAGGAGCTGACCAATCACACGACAGAGAGGAGAGGAGCTGACCAATCACACGACAGAGAGGAGAGGAACTGACCAATCACAGGAGAGACTGAATAAAAGTCCAAAATTCAGAGACGTTGTGTAAATTTGTTCATTAAAGACACAATATTATTATAAACTGTTTGTCCTTTTTTTTTAAATTTTTTTTTTTCAGATTTGTCATTTTTTTTGTTTTGTTTCTGTTCAGTCCAGTTTTTTTTTTTTTTAAGTCCAATGAAGAATTTGAAATGAAACAAAGAAAAGAACAAAACAGAAGTCGACGCTCAGACAAAACCTCCTCAGGAAAAAACTAACAAGTTTATAATTTAAATTTAATAAAGTTTAAAATGTGAAGAAGCTCAGACTCCAGACTTAAACCATCGAACTGAAGAGTGAAGCAACGACGCCGAGAGCCGCACGTTTATGAAAACTTCTGCTGCAGACACAGAAAAACTTTAACACAATATTTGATTTGTGCTGTAAAAAAAACGAGTCACGAGTTTGTTCAGATGTTGGAGCTGAACAAAAGTCGACACGACAATCTGAGGTTCTAAAACTTCTGAGCGAGAGTTTGTCAGGGAAACAGAGAGAACGTCCAGAGCACGAAAAAGAACAAAAAGAACAAAAGAACAAAAAGAACAAAAACAAAAAGAACAAAAGGAACAAAAGGACAGAACGAGAGAAAGAAACAGAAACATGAGCAACAAAACAAAGAACAGAAACAAACTCAAACTGTTTGTGACGCTGAAAAGAACATTCAGGACTAAACCAGGACTAAACCAGGACTAAACCAGGACTAAACCAGGACTAAACCAGGTCTAAACCAGATCTAAACCAGGACTAAACCAGGGCTAAACCAGGGACTAAACCAGGACTAAACCAGGACTAAACCAGGACTAAACCAGGTCTAAACCAGGACTCAGGACTAAACCAGGACTAAACCAGGACTAAACCAGGTCTAAACCAGGACTAAACCAGGACTAAACCAGGTCTAAACCAGGTCTAAACCAGGACTAAAACCAGGGCTAAACCAGGACTAAACCAGGTCTAAACCAGGACTAAACCAGGACTAAACCAGGACTAAACCAGGTCTAAACCAGGACTAAACCAGGACTAAACCAGGACTAAACCAGGTGGACTAAACCAGGACTAAACCAGGACTAAACCAGGTCTAAACCAGGACTAAACCAGGACTAAACCAGGACTAAACCAGGTCTAAACCAGGACTAAACCAGGACTAAAACCAGGACTAAACCAGGTCTAAACCAGGACTAAACCAGGACTAAACCAGGTCTAAACCAGGACTAAACCAGGACTAAACCAGGTCTAAACCAGGACTAAACCAGGACTAAACCAGGACTAAACCAGGACTAAACCAGGACTAAACCAGGACTAAACCAGGACTAAACCAGGACTAAACCTAAATAGAAGCAGATTCTGGGACAGAGGAAAACAAACATCGTCGCTGGATTAAAGAGGAAATCAAAATCCAGAAACGTTTCCACAGGACGATGAACCGAGACGAGGGTTTTTTTCTTCTCACACACCTGAGACTCTGACCTGAGGAAGTGCGTCTGCAGGTGGCGCCGTCGTCCAGACTCCGAGACAAAAACCGAGACGAAAACCAAGACTAAACCTGTTTAAACCGACTGAACGACACAGAAACATCACCAGACCAAGAAGGAAAACAAACTCTGGTCTGAAAAAAAGAACCTGAGAACATAAAGAATTGTAAAACCAAATGACTGGACTAATACTCGAGTACTGTTCCTGCGCGTACTCGAGTCTTGTTTTGTTTTTTTGCGTGAAGAAGAAAACCAGACGTGGTCCTGGTTTATGATAATAATATTTTATTCTGTGGTAAACTTTCTGAACAAACACAAAATAGTTTAAAAACCGTGACGTCATCGTGGCGAAACGTCCGTGATCCCGTGGGCGGAGGCCAAGGCGCTACTGAGCGTGTGCAGTGGGTCCGTGAACGTCCCGTGACGTGAGCGTCCTTTTCGCCGCCGACGCCACCGCGAAAAAAAAACAAAAAAAAACACCGTCTTTATTCAAATCAACTCCACTAAACATCTGCATTTAAACTTCACTAAGTGCTCCGGCTCAGGGACCATGGGAGCTGTAGTCCTGGGAGGGAGGGGGGGGGGTTGTAGTCCTTTAGGCGGCGAGGCTCATGGGAGTTGTAGTCAAAAAGCGTGTCCATATTTGTAGTCCGTTTGAGGCAATGGCAGTAGATTTTGTAGTCCTTTTGTAATCCAACAGAAAGGAGGTTTATCTGTGATGCACAGTGGGATTTGTAGTCCAAAGATGGATGGTTTTGTAGTCCTTAAAACCTTCTGGAGCCCTTGGTTGAATCTGAGGTGGAGGACGCGCCGGGCAGATGTTCCACACCAGAAACAAACTCACCAAGTTCAGAAACAAACTCAGGAGAAAATAAACGTCTCAGAAAAAACTAACAAACCGTGTTTGTCGACAGCCGTCCTCCATCTTAGATCTGTACATCCACTTCCTGATCGTGAACGCCGCCTCGTCTGGGAGTTGTAGTCCGCCGGGGGTCGTTTGTAGTCCAGGTTTAAAGCAGGCGCGGTCCTCAGGCGTCAAATGTAAACGCTTCCTCCCGAAACAAACGCGTGGGCCTGGGATTTGTAGTCCTTCAGCGTTGAGGAGGTGGGATTTGTAGTCTTTAGCGTTGAGGAGGTGGGATTTGTAGTCCTTTAGCGTTGAGGAGGTGGGGTTTGTAGTCCTTCAGCGTTGAGGAGGTGGGATTTGTAGTCCTTCAGCACAGGTGTGAGTGAGCGTGGAGGATGATGGATGTGTAGTCCTTTAGAGCGAGGTGGGGGTGGGGTTTGTAGTCCTTTAGAGTGGGGGAAGTGGGATTTGTAGTCCATTATTCATCATAGATAGAGATATATATATATATAGATTTATTTATTTATTCATTATAATAATTTCTCTATTGAAGCCCTGAAAAGACGAGTGTGTGGAGCCCCATCGTTTGAACTATTTACACACACACAACGTCTGATATGTACACACACACACACACACACACACACACACACACACACACACACACACACACACACACACACACACGCACAAATCTGATATGTACACACACGCACAAAAGTCTTATATTTACACACACACACCTTTTATATGTACACACACGTATGTATGCACACACACACACGCACACTACACACACACACACACACACACACACACACACACAGATCAGTTCAGTCAGAATCGATACATCCACAAATCAAGAATCTATAAATAGTGAAAGAGTCAAGAGTCCAGGGGGCGTGGCCTCAAGAGAGAGGGGGCGGGGCCTCGAGAGGATGAGGGGCGGGGCTTTGAGAGGATGAGGGGAGGGGCTTCGAGAGTGGGGGTGTGGTCCTCGAGAGGATGAGGGGCGGGGCCTCGAGAGGATGAGGGGCGGGGCCTCGAGAGCGTGTAGGAGACTTTAGGACAGGATAATCCAGAGGGTTAGTCCATCTTTAGACCAGGTGTAGTCCAGGTTTAGTCCTGGTCTAGTCCTGGTCTAGTCCTGGTCTAGTCCTGGTCTAGTCCTGGTTTAGTCCTGGTTTAGTTCTTTCTGGGTTCTTCTGGAGCGTTTGGGGTCTGATCATTGAGGTTTAAATAAATCTAGAGGAACCACAGAAACTGCAGCATTTGTGTCGGACATTTTGTGACTGTGGAGCAAAAATGTGACAAAAAAATCACAGACCGAAACACAAGAGAAACTGAAGAGACTGACTCCTCACACACACACACACACACACACACACACACACACACTACACACACACACACACACACACACACACACACACACACACACACACACTATACACACACACACACACACACACACACTATACACACACACACACACACACACACACACACACACACACACACACACACACACACTATACACACACACACACACACACACACACACACACACACACTATACACACACACACACACACACACACACACACACACACACACACTATACACACACACACACACACACACACACACACACACACACACACACACACACACACACACACACACACTACACACACACACACACACACACACTATCACACACACACACACACACACACACACACACACACACACACACTATACACACACACACACACACACACACACACACACACACACATACACACACACACACACACACACACACACACACACACACACACACACACACACATACACACACACACACACACACACACACACACTATACACACAACACACACACACACACACACACACACACACACACACACACACACACACACTATCACACACAACACACACACACACACACACACACACACACACAACACACACACACACACACACACACACACACACACACTATACACACACACACACACACACACACACACACACACACACACACACACACACACATACACACACACACACACACACACTATACACACACACACACACACACACACACACACACACACACACACACATACACACACACACACACATACACACACACACACACACACACACACACACACACTATCACACACACACACACACACACACTATACACACACACACACACACACACACACACACACACACACTATACACACACACACACACACACACACACACACACACACACACTATACACACACACACACACACACACACTATACACACACACACACACACACTATACACACACACACTATCACACACACACACACACACACACACACACACACACATACACACACACACACACACTATACACACACACACACACACACACTATACACACACACACACACACACACACACACACACACTACACACACACACACACACACACACACACACACACTATACACACACACACTATACACACACACACACACACACTATACACACACACACACACACACTATCACACACACACACACACTATACACACACACACACACACTATACACACACACACACACACACACACACTATACACACACACACACACACTATAGCACACACACACACACACACACACACACACTATAC